GAGGCCGAGGTCACTGGGAATGAAGCTCCTGTGATCTGTGTGTCCATCACGGATGCTGGAGTGTGGTGCACTTACAGGAGGCCAAGGTCACTGGGAATGAAGGAAGGCTTCCCTTTTTCAGCCCTGGATTTCACAGTGTGTGTGATCTTCCTAGATCTTTTTAATGACTAGTCCATGTGGTATTTCAACTTTACTTTTTTAGTGGTTAATGTGAGCCTAACTGGACATTTAATAGAACTAGTAAAAGATTTCATGAGAATTTTCCCTTAAAATTAGAAAAGAATTTTTCAGTTATAGTCTTCGTTTATTTGAGCTTTAATTTTATTTCAAGAACTGTTCCAGCAATGTTTGAATGTCAGTGTTTCAGTGATTAATCAGGGCAGGAAGGATGAGGAGGCTTTGCTTGTACAAGAGTAATGCAAATTTTCTGGTTTATTTTAAAATGTGGCCATCTCTGAATTTCTTTCCCCTTCCTTCCTTCCTTCCTTCCTCCCTTTCTTTCTCTCCTTTCTCTCTCTCTCTTCCTCCCTCCCTCCCTCTCTTCCTTTCTTCTCTCTCTCTCTTTTTAAGAGATAGAGTCTTAATCTATCACCCAGGTTGGAATGCAGTGACACAATCATATCTCACTGTAATCTTGAAGTCCTGGATGTAAGCAATCCTTCTGCCTCAGCCTCCTGAGTAGCTGGAACCATAGGAGTGCATCACCACACCCAGCTAATTTTATTATTTTCTGTACAAATAGGATCTTGCTATGTTTCTCAGGCTGGTTTTAATCCCCTGGCCTCAAGCAATCCTCCTGTCCCAGCCTCCACAAATGCTGAGAGTATAAGTTTGAATTTCTACACCGGGCCAGTCTCTGAATATTAATAGATACTACTTTTTTTTTTTTTAAAGAAGTTGACTTGGTGGCTCGGCGCCTATGGCTCAAGCGGCTAAGGCGCCAGCCACATAAACCTAAGGTGGCGGGTTCGAATCTAGCCCGGGCCCACCAAACAACAATGACGGCTGCAACCAAAAAAAAAAAAAAAAAGAAGTTGACTTGGTAAATAGAGTCCAGAGAAGGAAAACATTTCTGTTCTGGTCGCAGTGGCTGTGCTAGGTTGAAGAAAAGAGGTAGCTTCTTTCTAGCTACTTATTAGCGTGATGGATACTGATTTAAAACTACCCTCTCTCAGACCCAGTGTACAAATTGGTTTTCAGCAGTTCATCTGTGTTTGGTTTTGATTCTTAAGCATTTTTGCCAGAATCATGAATACTGAAAAGGCAAGTGCTGAGCAGAGCCTCTCCTTTTAGATTGGATCCTTCAGGTACTAAGGAGCTTAGCTTTGGAGGCCAGTCATTGGGAGAATTTCTGTGGCGCATTAGAACTTGTGTTTGACTGTAAGTAACAACATGGGATGTGGTGGAAGCCTGAATCATCGATGGACTGTTTTCTGTATGGGCAGGGTGGTTAGTGCAGTGGGATGAACTTGCACTCTGGATTCACAGAGATCTCTGGCACATACTAGCAGTGCCACGCAGGAAGGTCATAGCTCGGCTCTACAAGATGTAAAAGATGACACCCCTCCGAAGGTGGCTTTGGGGCTACTCCTGTAAAACCTGAGAGTTCCAGGCCCCTTTATTCTGAGCTCTGTAAACATTTCCTCCCGTCTTCATTCACTCTCATCACTGCTATAACCATGAGGACGCCCAGTCTCAAATCTGTTCTTTTCCACTTTTGAGGAAACTGTGAAGTGTTTGCCCAAAATTATATCTACTAAAGAAATGCACTCTTGGAAATAGAAGGCCAGGCATGGTGAATCACACCTAAATAACCCCAGCACTTTGGGAGGCTGAGGCAGGAGGACCGTGTGAGCCTCAAGTTTGAGGTTGTTGTGAGCTGCAATCATGCCACTGCATTCTCACCTGGGAACAGAGTGAGACCCTGTCTCAAAAGAAAGAAGTCCTGGGTGTCCTTTCCAGGAAAAGTTTCTGAGAATCCTGCCCTCTGAGCCACCCTCCCCCATTCTCATTTCTTAGTTACATATGTTTTAAATAGCAAAAAGAAATTTATGCTTTGGGAGAGACTAAGAACCACATTTGGCTTTGAGGCTAGCATTTTAAGGGCAGAGTAAATAACAAACTTGATCATATAGACTTGGGAACCATTCAACTGTGTGGGAAATTGTAGTTTGTATTTGTATTTGTATGAAGCCTAATGAGTGAGATATATTTATGTGAAGTATTTACAGTAGAACCTCTGTGAGTTGACCACCTAAGGGACTGTAACAAACTGGCCCACATATGGACGTGGTCAACTGGCAAGGAACTAGGCCTCCTGTACTGATACATACATGTGGTGCATGTCTGGTCTATGAAAATTGGTCAACTTAAAGAGGTGGTCAGTGTAGGGAGGTGATCAGCTATGGAGGTTCCACTGTATTTATGTTTATTTACATTTTAGATTCATAATACTTTTTTGGAAATAATTTTATTTTAAAAAGTTTAACTTTTGGGGTGCCATCTGTGGCTCAATGGGTAGGGCGCCGGCCCCATATACTGAGGGTTGTGAGTTTGAACCCAGCCCTGGCCAAACTACTACAACAACAAAAAAATAGCCGGGCATTGTGGCAGGTGCCTGTAGTCCCAGCTACTCAGGAGGCTGAGGCAAGAGAATCGCCTAAGCCTGGGAGTTGGAGGTTGCTGTGAGCTATGTGACGCCACGGCACTCTACCGAGGACGATAAAGTAAGAATAAAAATAATACACATAGCACCAATATGGCAAGTAACAGCCATGCACCCCTTACTCAGATGTACCGTGGTGTTTTACCTCATTTGCTTCTCCTGTGTTCTGTCATTATCTCAGTGTGTGTGTGACTCACATGACACACACAGCGTGTATATAATATTTAAAAGAAAACACTTGAGAGGAAGTTGCTTATATCATGGTTCTTCACCCCCAAATACTTAAGTGTATATTTCCTAACAAGAATTATTCTTTTACATAATCACAATACAGTTATCAACGTCTCTAAATCCAACATTGGAATAATACTTTTATTTACTCTATAGTCTGTCTTGACCCACTTGACCCAATCATATCATTTGTAGGATTCTTAATTTAAAAATACCTTTTTCAACCTTAAAATTATGTTAAGGTACAGAAAGTTTATATGACAGTCAGAGTGTAAAACTGTGCTGTGGCCTCAGCTTCCAATGTATATTATACACATAATATGTATTATTAATAGAAAATATTTCTGCTGACTTTATTTAATTTTTAGGTAGACTTTTTATCTAGATTTAGATTTTTGACAATTTTGTAGATGACTTGTTGGCTTTTAACTGAGCACAGCCTGGCATTGTGGAATGCTGTTTACACTTGGTTAGTTGAGAATGCACATCTGCTCGCACACCTAGAGGAAGTAGTTGTAAGGTTACTAGGATGTCCGTCACATTAGCCTTATGTCATGGGAGTGGTGCAACCTACTGCACTGTCTGTTGTGTGGGTCTTAATTCTGTACCATGCTGTCATTCTGGTTGAACCGTACCTTGAATTCCTGTCCAGGTTTGGTTAATTCTCTAACACGCTATCCTTCTTCTGGTTTGAATGTAGATCCCCCTCACCCGCTCTGGTGCTGTACCGTACCTTGAATTCCTGTCCAGGTTTGGTGGAATTGACCTAAATATAAATGTTCTAAAGAAGTAAGTATTTTGTTTGCTCATATGGAAATGTGAAATTTGAAATGATGAGTAGGAACGATGGCATAAAACTGATCGTATCAACAGATATATATGGACGATGGATCACTAGAGTCCACCCATTTAGAATTTAATGAGATTAATCCCCACATTTTAATTAGAAAAGATGTAGCATCTATATAGGATAAATTTCAGAATAAGAGAAATGCTTCTGTAACAAAATGTGAACATAGCAAATTAAAGCCAGATAAAATTGTTACATGTAATATATTTAAATTTGGAAGTAATGGGTTTTAATCTTTAAGTAAACTATTAAGATGCCAGATTTAAGATTTGTTGGCTTTTATGCTTTTTTATTATAACATTGTTAATCAGAAAGTGATCAGGTTTTGGTGGCTACAAGTGAAAAATAAAGATCTTCATAGGAGCTCCTTGAGAGGTGAAAGATAGGATTTCCAGGAATCTACTGTCTGGTCCATTCTGTGTTGCTGTGACACAGAACCTAAGACTGGGTACTGTAACTTATAAACACAGAAATCTATTCTAGAGACTGGGAAGTCCAAGACCAAGGTGTTAGCATCTGGTAAGGACCTTTTTACCATGTCCTTATCTGGTAGAAGGACAGGAGAGGCTGGACTGACTCCCTCCCCCAAGCCCGTTTATAGGGACATCCAACATTGTTCAAAAGGGAGGGGGACCCTCCTGGCTTACTCACCTCCTCAAGGCTTCTTTATTCTGTCACTTTGGCAATACTGAATTTTGGAGGGGAACATTCAAACCAAGGAGATATAAGAATAGGGCAGAAATAATATTTGAAAAGATAATGGCTGAGAATCTCAAGCCAAATAAAGTAATGCGTATTTGGACATCGCACAGTGAAATGGCAGAACACCAAAATCAAAGAGAAAATAGTAAAGGCAATGAGAGGAAAAACAGAGCTGACAATTAGATAACACTGACTTCTCAACAGTGACAGTGAAAGCCAGAAGATAAAGAATCTTTTTAAAGTACTGAAAGAAAGTATCTGCCGTCCCTGAGCGGTACACATCATTTGTGAGTCAGAGGCAGCTCCTTCTGCGGGAGCCCCGGGCCCCCTCCTTGTCTTGCCACAGTCCACACTCACTTACCAGTGGCAGAGCATTTGGAAAAGGTAGAGGCATCCAGCACCTTTGCCTCCGTGTTCAAACCAGATCTCTTTTAGCCAAATCTTGTACTATTTCTTCGTATCAACTTGTATAAAAATAAGAGGCAGAAGCAACCCATGCAGTCCCTGAATTATCTGGTCATTAGATTGGGGCTGAGTCTCGGGACACTGACAGGTGAAGGTCAAATCCCCTGAATGTGTGGGGTGGGACCTGGCACTCTGTCACAGCACTTCCCTTCTGGAGTTATTTGGGGAGGTCGCATTTTATATCAACCCAAACGTAATGCCAGTGATGACACATAGTGAACACAGCCCAGAAATGGTACACTGTCTCATCTGCCTGGCTGCCTAGGCCTCCCCAGAACTGGTCACCTATTAAATCACCATACTGAGCAAGTATCTTCTGGGCGTTGATGAAGTTGGAAGCAACATGGAGGTTGGAAATGCGTGACCTCAAATGACATTTACAAAGTTTACGCCTCTGAGTTTCTAAGAGCTGGTGTCTTGGTTTGTTTGCTTTACTGAAGGAAATACCTGAGGTTGAGTAATTTATTTTAAAATGAGGCTTATTTGGCTCATGGTTCTGCAGGGTGTATAAGAAGCACGGAGCCAGCATCTGCCTCTGGGTGGGGGAGATCAGGCTGCTTCCACTCATGGCAGAAGGGGAAGAGTTGCTGAGGAGCTGCCGTGATCATGGGGACAGAGGTGCCAGGCTCTTTTCACCTATCAGCTCTACCGGGAACTAATAGAGTGAGAACTTACTCTTTCCCGTGAGGACCAAGCCATTGGTGTGGGATCTGCCCCATGACCCAAACACCTCCCACTAGGCACCCCCCAATTTCAACATGAGCACTGAAGGGAACAAACATGTAAACCTCAGCAGCTGGTGAGGGCAGAACACAGAACTACTGTGCCTCTGTAAGGGGTCACAGTGCCATCGTCAGAAACGTGTGTGCAGTGAGTTCACTTACACAAGGCTTGCTTCAGGTGGACATGCAGTACACTGCTCCCTGGGGACTCCAAGTGTCCTCTGCAAATTAGATGATCCATGCAGCACTTGGCACAATGCTGCTTCTGTGAAGAACACAATCTTTCATGTGTTCATAAGACCAGGCGTCCTTAAACTACGGCCCATGGGCCACATGTGACCCACCTAGGACATTTATCTGGCCCGCTGGGTGTTTTTGCCGCCACTGCCTATCCTGCTTAGCAGCTGACTCATCCCGGGGCCCGCAGTCTGAGGGACAGTGAACTGACCCCCCTGTTTAAAAAGTTTGAAGACCCCTGGATAAGACAATCAATATGGACCATAGTGCAAGGTTTAAAAAGCTTTCTGAGCACACACAGAATAACTTGCTGAAGAACCTGAGAATTATATTGGAGCTAAACTCTTGCACAAAGACCACACGCTGAAGTGTTCCTCCACCAGGGCCGGTATTGTGGATTTAGGTGGACAGAGGACAGAGCAGCTGCAGAGCATTGGTTCATGGGGCTGACTCTAGGCAGCCTGTGGTGGAGAAGGAGGGAAGGAAGAAGGCTGTGGACCAAAAGAAGCAGGATTTGGAGGGGAGAAAGGCTATTTGCTATAAAGAAATGAGTGACTAAGGAAACCATCCACAGAGGAGCCCACACGGCGACTAAGACAAGCCTGCTGCCCAGCGGCTGGGGTCTGTTCGCCTCTAAAGATCGATTCAATTAGGAGAGCTTATTCTGAGCTTTTGGAGCTAGAGACATGAGACAAACCAATGAAAAACATTCTAAAAATTCAGACTGAGGGTTAAATAAAGACATTTTCAGACAAAAACTGAGATAATTAATCTCTGGCAGATCTTGACTAAAAGTTGTGCTAGAAGCAGAAGGAACGAGGTCCCAGACGGAGGATCTGAGGCTTCAGGAATAAAACCAAAGGAGGAGGCAAAATAGGGGAAACAGAAATGGTTACTGGCTGCAGGAAGGATTATGAAAAATTCTATATGAGTTAAAGTGTTTAGAATTAAAGTGCCAGATAGTAATAAGCCGAGCAGGGCTAGGAGCTGGCAGGAGGACAAGACGTCGCCAAGCTTTCCCCATGGAAATGTTCTGTATGCACATTGTGATTTTAGGGTAACTGCTAAAGAATAGAAACAAAGTGTCTAACTTCTAGACATTTGGAAGGAAAAATGAAATGATTCTAAAAAAAATAATCCAAAAGGAGTTAAGGAGAGAAAAATCTAGAACAGATAATACAGATTGTTAGATCTGTACCCAAATGTGCGCTATTCATTACATTAAATGTGAAAGGATGGCGGGCGCACAGACATTTGTGAGATTTTAATTCTTTAGCTCCTAAATATATATAATATTACATACAAACACTGTGTTATATCTTTTGATTACATCATTAAGGCAATGGTAAAACATTACATTTAACGTAGTATAAAACTCGGATTCCTGATCAGGTTCTCTCTTTAACTTGAGCACAGACAGAGCTTAACTCTTCTGCGCCTCAGTTTTCTTGGATGTAAAATGAAGTAAATGTCTTCTGAAAACCCTCCAGCGGCTTCCCTTTACCCTTAGCTTGGAGTCCAGACCCTTGTCATGGCCCACAGCACCCAGGGGCCTGGCTCATCTCTACACGCAGCCCCAGCCCTCCTGCTGCCCGTCCAGCTCTGCCTTGCTGGCCTCTGTCCTGCTGAGCCTAGGCTGAGCTGAGCTCCTGCTGCTCTCTTGGCTTCTTGCCAGCTATGTGTTCTCTCAGCTCTGCCTGGAGGGCTTTGTGGCCCCTCAGCTTGTGGCTGTCTGTTCAGATGACTGTGGTTCGAGAGGCCTTTTGTCGTCCGGCCCTCCCTCATCTCCAGTTGATCCCAGGCCCACCTTTATTTCCTTCAGGGCCCCTGGTACCGTTTCAACTTACTTAGTTGTCAGTTTATTTCCCATCTGTCACTGTCACTAGTAGGGACAGCGTGATGTTCACCACCACACCCCCAGGCCTGGCATATAGAAGGCACTGGCAAGATCTTGTGAAGTGGGGGAACCCCTGTCCTGCCCCTGGCATTCTCTACACCTGACCCCAACCCTACCAGCCGGTCCCAAAGGGGCTCAGAAGTGAGCTACAGCTACACAGACAGTGAAAATAAAGAGGACCAATAAAAAACAGAAGGAGCCAGGGGGTGGTGCAGACACAGTGACCATCAAGTCCTTTACTGAGTGGCCAGAACAGAGTGCAGAAGCAGAGGGCTAGGGAGCTGGGTCTGACCCCCGGCCTCTCATTCCTCCCTGTTACCTCAGCCTCGTCTGTGAAGTGGGGGTGATGAGGCTGCCAGGAGGTTTCCCGACGCGAGGCTTGTTAAGGCGCAGTCCAGTGCTCATTGCAGATCAGCTGAACAACTTATCCCCTCACTCCTCTGGGAGGAGTAAACGCTTTTATATTGCAGTTTACAGATGAGGAAACTAAGACTTGGAGAAACCAAGTAATTTGCCCAAATTCACACATCTGGCAGATGGTCACACATAAGAAATGCCTTCCATTTTAAAATAGATTTAGAAATCCTTGCAATTTTGATCTCTGCATGTCTTATGTAAACACTTATTTGGTTAAAACATCCTAACAAAGATTTATTTCATTTCACTTTTAAGGGGAAGTGAGAATGAAATGAATTGCTGCCGGACATTAAAAGAACTTGAAATCCAAATTGGAGAAAAGGTAATGGAAATTTTAAAAAACGATCTTCTCCGTTCTTAGTCACCAGCCGTTGTTCCCCGACATAGATGATGCAAACTTAGCGCACCCTGTCATCTGAGTCCTCACGTCAGTGACAGTGACTAACTAGATCTGATGACAAGCCTGCGAGAAGGCCAGGCCGGCTACTCTGGCTGCCTTGGGTGGCATCTCTTTTGATGAATGACATGGCAGAAGTCCTGGAATGTTAATTACTCTGGTATTAACTCTAGATCATTATTAGCAGGGCTGCCTTTTCTGTCTTTGTCTAACACTGAGCAGGTTTTCCTTCAGAAAGAGAAAGCGAGTGCTTTGTGACAGCGTGTGCCAGTCACAGGCAGCGTGGTAAAAATAACCAGTCAAACTCCAAGTGACATGTATTTAAGGATTGAGTAATTTAGCTGCAAAAGCTACTATGAGTCTTTAGAAAAGGAGCAGATAGCTTTGTTCCGATTTGCTGATTGTGGCTCCGGAGGGAGGAGATGGTAATGTCATTCAGGGGTTGGAACCGGACGACTTTTTAAAATGCATTTGAGCCTGTCACTTACATGAGCAGTTTGAGAATCAGGGTTTAATTTATTTGATTCAATATGTTGGTTTGAAATGTGACAAATTTTCTTTCTTTTTTGAACCCTTCTGAGACTTTCATACATTTAAAAAGCAAATATAGCCAGAGATCCACAAACTGTCTCAAAAACTCATCTTAATATGATAATTTTTAGCCTTACATGTTCCTAAAACCTGTTTACATATTATTAATAGTAGGAACACTGGTATAGTTACCTGCTTCTTTCCTTGTGGCCCAATTGTTATTCTGTAAGAAATATAAAGTAGGATTGATAGTATTTATGTCTCTTATTTGTCTCTTTATAAACTTGTGTCAATCATGAAATAACTCCTGGTACAGCTATTATATACCCATAATTAAAAATAAAACACAACGCTGCAGTGTAAGTTCACCATTTACGATGATCACCATGGCAGTGTGGATATGGTTGCGAATCAGAACCGCAGCTCTGAGTTAGTGTGGTGCGTGCACACATAGGCCAGGACTGGGAATTGCCCAGCATAAGGCTGTGCTCAGCAGATCTGTGAGGGAAGGCCATCCCTATCCACCCTTTCAGTCCACCCCTTTTTATCCCAGCTTCCTCCCCACGGAAGCCCAAACCAGTGAGTGAGTTCACACCAGTGCGGTCCATCTTCATGCCCCTTCTGGTGATGACAAGCAGGAGGTAAAAGCTGAGGGGCACCAGCTCCTGGGGCAGTGGAGGGTATTCTCTCGGACTCTTCTGCAGCCCAAAGTCTACCTATGATTCTGACCCTCGGCAGGCAGCAGGGGGTGGATAAGCCTGCCACATCACCCAGTCAGACGTGGGTTTTCACCTTGGGCTCTACCTTCTGCCAGCCCAAGCTCATGTTTGTTGTTGGAGTTCTTCCTCTGTCAGAGGGGATAACACCCCCCACCTGAAATGCTGTTGTATGGTTTTAAGATACCCACTTTAGAAATGTCAGCTGTTGGCTCGGCGCCCGTAGCACAGTGGTTATGGCACTGGCCACATATACCGAGGCTGATGAGTTTGAACCCAGGCCAGCTAAACAACAAAGACAACTGCAACAACAACAAAAAATAGCCGGGTGTTGCGGTGAGCACCTGTATTCCCAGCTATTTGGGAGACTGAGGCAAGAGAATTGCTTGAGCCCAAGAGTTTGAGGTTGCTGTGAGCTGCAACGCTACCACACTCTATTAAGGGTGACATCGTAAGACTCTTGTCTCAAAAAAAAAAAAAAAAAAAGAAAAGAAGAGCCCGGTGTTGTGGCAGGTGCCTGTAGTCCCAGCTGCTCAGGAGGCTGAGGCAAGAGGATCACTTAAGCCCAGGAGTTGGAGGTTGCTGTGAGCTGTGACGCCACAGCACTCTACGGACGGCAATAAAGTGAGACTCTGTCTCTTAAAAAAAAAAAGAAAGAAAGAAAGATAGAAATGTCAGTTGTTACGCTGATTATTCCAGCATCCTGTGCAGTATAGATAGGTTGCAGATGAATCTCATCCCTTCCCCACCCGAAAATAAACAGAACAAGCCCCCGTACCCTCAGCTGTTTGCTGTGCTCAGGAGCTCGCTTCCAGGGAAGGCTTGGTCTTGTTAATGGCAGCACACCAGTTGTTGAAGAGTGAGCAAAACACCTCCGAGTAACCAAAGTGAGGGTCTCTTCATACAAATCAACAATTGGCGGTTGGAACCCTGAACTGACTGAACCGCGAGCACCCCAACACATGCATTTTCTGACTGTTTTCTTCTGTAGGGGGCTTGGTCTGATGGCTGTGTTCTCAGACACCCCTTCCTCATGGATACTTGGGCCCTCTCATGTGTTTATCTTATTGTCCACAGAATCCAAGTCTCTCTGAGCCTCATTTTCTCCATCAGAAGGACAAGGCCAGACCGGTGATGTCTGGGTATCATCTCTATCTGGATGATCACGCTCCATGGCGTGAAGATGTGTGGGCTGCTCCCAGGGGCCTGGGTCCATGGGAGAAGGATGCTCTGGAGGCCCAGGGGTTCTCCCTGTGCCCTCTGCAGCCCCCACCTGCCTGTGGGTCTGGCTGATCTACACTAAGTGTCCACTCAGCAGCTGCTCCGAATCCGGCCCACACCCTCAGGCCCTCACTCTCTTGGCTTTTCATTTTGCTCACAGATACCACCCTGCTTTCATCGCCTCTTCTGGGCCTTTGACTGGGTGTCTCCTGGCCTGGCCTGTGAGCTTTCTGGGCTGGTGCTTTGCTCCCATGGTCTCCGGGAGGTGGTGGAGTTTGTGGGGCACCAGGCACAGTTGGACTGAGATCCCGCCCCCGCAGCATTCTAGGGGTAGGGGTGGGTGCCCTGCAGATTTCTCACTGTTCTGAGTTCCTCAGCTCTAAAGTGGAGATAGCAAACCTGCTTTTTGTATAGTGACAAGAACAAGTGGAAATAATACAAGTGAAGGCCGTGTACAGTGGGTGCTCAATAAATGTTTGTCCCTTCCTTCACTGATGAGTGAAGTTGCTTCCCCTTTCCTGTGGCGGCTGTTCCAGGTGCCACATCTGCAGTCCCAGAGGCATTTGGTGGTTCTCCCCTGTGAGAGGCAGAAGACCCCCAACTTAACTTTCTTAGACAGCAGGGGCTTCTTGTTTCCCCTAGGAAGACATCAGGAAGGAGTGTGGGCCCAGGATCGATTAGCCCATCTCTTCCTCTGGTCACCAGGAGGTTGTCACTAGGCTGGGAATAATATGCAGACACTTTGCAGTTTTTTTCCAATGTGCTGTTTCTTCTATTATGACTCTTTAAAAACAAAAGAAAGCTTCTCCTCATGTCTCCCAGCCCAGAATTAATGCTCCACACCCAAATCCAGTGGCATTGGTAGCTGCCAGGAGCATGGACCAACGCTGATTAGCCCTTATATGGCAGCGGGGTTCCCTCCTGTGAAGCACATGGCCACCCAAGGAGGGCGGATGTCTGAACAAATGGGAATGGAGGGTTTTGTTAGAGAGGAGAAAAGAGTAGAGGGGAATGGATCTGGGAGGGTACCCAGCAGCTTCTGCTCCAGCTGTCCACAGAAGGGAGCCCCGGAGGCTGGTGGAGCCTTAATGTAACTCTAGCTATGACAGCACTTACTGGGAACTCTTCTAAGTGCTTTACCATATTAAAATTATTGTAATTTAATTCCTGGGAGAACCCCCTGAGGCAGGTGCCACTGTCATCTCATATTCCTATACGGAAACTGAGAACAGAGGCTATGCAGTGTGACCAAGGGTCCTCAGCTGGGGCTGGGGACCCTGTGATCCCAGCCTTGGCGGCATGGCTCTAGAGTCCTTGCCTTAGGCACCAAGGCTCCCTGCCTCTCAGTGGCCCTCTTGAGGGATGACAGTGACACTTGCTTTGCATTCAGCAGATGTGACAGCTTGCTAGGCCTATAGGTAGACCCAACCCTCCCAGAGAGAAGTCTCTGCCCATCATCGCCATTAAGTTGATGGAGTTTTCTTCTCACCACAGTCACCTTTCCGTCCACATAGCAGCTGTTTCAAACAGGCATTTGGGAGTTTTCTCCCCTTGCCCCTTTCTGGTATCCTGCCTCCCACCTCCTCCTACCTCCTTAGTCTTTTATGCACCTGCCTGTCCATCCTGGAGTAGGGGCAGGGTTCAGGAACTTGGGCCTGGGTGCTCCACGTTCTTCAGCTGAAGACTCTGCCAGGGACCCGGGGACACCAGCAGGGCTGCAGTGTGCCGCTGGCTGACAAAGGTTTGGGTTTTCACTCCGTTTATCCTTTGTCCACTGCCCACATGAGCCGAAGGCAGACGTGGCGAGTAAAGGAAGAAAACTCAAGCTTGCCACTTGAGGTGGGTCGAGTGCTGACCGTAAGCCTTGTCCTGGGGATGATGAGAACCAGGAGGCCGCTCTGGCCTATGTGAGAACATGGTACACGTTCAGAAAAGGCTCAGCTCTTCCTCTCCTCCCTACATGGAAAAGCTGTTCTTCACTGAAGACTAGAATTCAAGGATGTCTAATTCAGTTAAAGAAGTATTAAAAGAAAAATACCGCCTAAAGCCCCAGGCTGTTTGCTACCCACGTCACTAAGGCAGAGCCCTCAGGAAAAAAAAAAAGGCTGCTAAGCTCGGGCTCTGTGATGCCGGAACATCTGGTCTATCCAGTCAGCCGTGACCAGTGTGTCTGTTGGACACCAAGTGCTCAGACACAAGTTTTTATAGGATTACCCTGGTGCCTCGGAGTTGTAGAGATACAGCCTTAGTCATTTCAGAAGCAATTAGTAAATAATTATAGGTCCTAAGCTGCTGGCTTCCTCCATGATATCCTCCTGCAGAACAGGCAGAATGGGTAGATTCCTTTTCTTAAAGAGGTGAATTAGAAAGAAATTTAAAAATTCCCTGCTCAAGGAATAAAGAATCAGTTGTTAGTCTGAATCACACCCATTTCATAAACATACCTTAGTATCATCC